TTATGTCTATGTGACATAGAGCCAGACCCCAGTCTGCTCTGATTGGTTAGCTGGCTGGCTCTGTTGTGATTGTTCAAATGCTAAGAGATGTCCCGCCCCATCATGTAACATGTTACAGATGTAAACAAAGTATTACCTCTGGAGGGAACTTTGTAATATATTTTGCTAACCATTTACACACACACAAACCTTTATAACACACTACAGTAAAGGGTCCCTTTAAAGAAACCAGGTTTTTAATGTAACCAAACATTTTAAAAGTATTATAAACCAATAATCTTAAAAACTAGGTCTATAAAAATAATTCACAAGAAAATACGTCTTGTAAATATAACAGCGTCTAAACATATTGGCTTGGCCACACCAGATAGCAAACAAGGTGCAATTAAGATTAACAGACATACAAATCCCCCCTTGACATAAGAGCACATGGCATGGTCCAATTAACTGTTTCCAGTATTTAGGAGTCCTCAGCCCTCAGCCACACCTTTTGCTGCCCCAGAAAAGAACCTCCCCCAACAGCCAAGGTAACTCAAAGACAACGAAATGATTCAAACAAACAAGCTCAAGAGTTTTGTTCCATCACATATAATACCCCACTCGTGAATGTGTTTACCTTCTATGTGTCGTAAAAACAGAGGTTGTTACAAGTGACTTAAGGAGACTACCAAACGTCTACACAAGTCTGCCTTTAGCTTATCGATGGTGAAAAAAGCCAACATCCATGTGACTGTGATGTAGTTTGTGTCATATCTCGCAAATTATGTTAGTTTAGTTAAGTGTTTCTTTGTCTTTGTCTAGTGATTTTCCCTCTCTGACTTCCCTTCCTTGTGTGTCTCCCACTCCTGTGATTGTTGACCACGCCCCTGATTGTTTCCACCTGTTCCCCATTACCTGGTGTATTTATTGTCCTCGTCTCCCTTTGTCCTGTGCCAGTTCGTTTTCATTTCTTTTGACAAACTACCAGCGTATCATGCCAGGGATACTCCCAAGCAGAGCTTTGAGCCACGTCTTGTCTGAGTATTTCGTTATTCATGCTCCTAGTGTTTTTCCTCATTGAAGTGATTTTGCTTTGAAACTGTAGTAGAGCTTTGGTTTGAATACACCTTGTTTTTGTTAAAACCTGTGTGAGTCGTGCATTTCATTTCAAACCCGTGTAACCAGTCGTAACAGTTTGTTAATGGCCTCAAGTTAACTTTTTACTTCTGGCAAATGCATTTACTCTTCAACAATTACAAAGTGGTGTTAATATGTGGAGATTATCCTGCTTAACTCAACTTAGTATGCAACATATATTTTTGTTGACCACAGAGCTTATTTTCTACAATACTGTATACAAAATACAATGTTAAAATCCCATAGCTTTTTGTCGAGGGAGCCCTCGTGATTCTACCATCCGGGTTGGCCTACACAAATGCATGTTCACTGCACCACTATATATGGTTCTACAGTTGCTTAAAGCTGAACTACAATCACCAGCTAGTTGCTAACATTGCCTCTTATCTGTTGGTGTTGAATGTACGGTTGGTTAATCATAGATTTATTTGCAGAACAGATGCCTGTAGTTTAGAACAAAGTTGATTAATGGAAAGAGAGAAAAAACTGTGGGCAATAAAACCCAAATGATGATCTGAAACACTCAAGAACAGAGCCATACTTATATCTGCTTGTTTACCATTTTAGGTTACCCCTTTACATAGGTTATTTTATAAATTCGTAGAATAATGTTGGTTGTATTTAAAAAAAAAAAAAAAAAAAAAAAAATCAAGTTATAAATTGCATTAAAGACACAACTGTACAATATGTTACATGACAGGTTATGATTAAGTCACATTTGGCCAATGGTAGACCTAAATATGCAGAAATAAAATGTTTAACATAAACCGCAAAGTAAATCTGAGACTTAAACAAATATGAGAGCTTTCTGGAATCAAAAATAATTTTGTTTAAGGTGCTCTTCAATTTGGATACATGTAGCTGCAAAAATCACACAAAATACTTCACGGCACTCTCTTTTTAAAGGCCATGTAATGCATCTAACACAGGTGTTTTTTAACATGTAGTTTAGATATCACCAGAATAAATTATTATTATTTTTTTAAAAGTTTGGTCATAATTAAATGACATATCCGTTAAAAAACGATGTTGGTTCCGAAGTTTGCCGAGTTCGCCCCCGATCACTCCCGAACGAGCGGTGACGTCACACGTGGCAAATATTGCCATTTGATAAAATCAGTCAAAATGGCAAGCAACGCGACAACTTCAGACAGCGATAGCGATCATTCAAGCTCAGATTCGGTGGGTTATCTGGATTCAGTTACAGAAGTAGAGAGTGAACCAGCTAGCCTTTCACTTCAAGGCATCTTGCCTTATCAGTACGATCCTCCTGCCCGGCAATCGAACAACGAGGCAGAAACTTGTGAAAGAGAAGCGGATTCCGCAGCCGGCGAGACTCGAGTCGGCAATACTGAATGGTAAATTCTGTTTTATTTAATTCGACCTGCACTAAATGTCGATCTTAATTTGTCATTTGTTCCTCACACGTCCGGCAGATATTGTTTTTTTTTTATGTTATGTACAATATTCAGGTGTACATGTCAATGCTGTGAAAGCATGCCCACTGCAGATGAATGTGTATGCTGCAGAGAGATCTGGCAGGTGATGGAACAAATAGAGAGTTTGCAACCTACTGACCAGATAGAAGACACCGACGAGAAATCAAGGTGCATTATTAGCCACCCAGGCTTTAGAGAAGGCTGTCTCAGTGTTTGGACACTGAAAATAGCGTATCTTCAATACAAACAACAACACAGAGCAGTTGATGGCCCACTACACCAGTAAGTAAATATTGATTGACCCAACTGCCTATTGCAGCTTTGCTTTCATATAATACTTTTAGTCGCTACATATATGATGGTACACTTTTAAAGATACCATTAAACTCTTTCAAGCAGTCAAAAACAGCTTGGCTTTTATGTTTTCTGTGTATGCAAGTTCAATGTATGCTTGGGAAAAGAAACAACTACACATGTGAGGAAATATATAAGAGGTCTATGATTCTGTCAAGCAGTCATGTACAACCTCATATTTATTTTTTACAAGTAAAATAAAAATATCATGTTATAAGCCAATTTGTAAACATTGCTACATAATAGTACTACATAACATTTTATTTTTCTCCAAATATATTTATAATCTGTATACTCTTTTTTTCATTAGGAAGTATCGATATACAGCTTATCGACAGTTTGTACGTTGGTGCTGGGGTGTACTCAGCCCAAAAATCAGAGTCCCGCTGCCTGCATGTGCTGTAACCGAGATACGGAAGACTTACCCTGAACCGGGAGGCCGCTATCAGGGATTTCAATGGCCAAATCTGTAATTTGACATAAATCATACAGCTGAACTGGTTAAAATGGTTTCACATGATGTAAATAATTTACAATGTCCGTCATTTACAATATTATTCTTCGGACATTCGTGTACACTGTGACCTGACAGGCTTGAATTACCACAAAACTGAACTACACATCGCTTCACCATCATGAATTGTTAGATAAAAAAAGTTTAGCGAGGTCCGGTTACACATATGTTGAGCGAAAATAGCGGAAGGATACAAAACAAACAATCCAGACGAGGCTGGTGTTTGCCACGTGTGACGTCACACAGCTGGTTAATGGCTGGCAAGCTTTTTGCTACCGGAGCGGAATAACACGGGAAAGTGGCAC